TTCCTGGCTGAAACCAGCACAGCATGTAACAGAATAAAAGGTACAGAAAGTTGGAGCATGTTTATCCTGCCCTAAATTTCACAGTTTGAGTATTAGCTTGTACAACTGTGTTCAGTATTTTCAGAAGATCAACTGGAGGAATGTTGTGGGAAGAAGCTGCTTTAATTGTTGTCTGATTTCTTATTCACAAGTAGGATATATTTGGTGACAGTGAGAAACTCTATATGGAATAAGGCTGTAATGTATTAATTGATAATAGATGTGGATAACTGGTAGGAATCCTTTGAATACATATATCAACTCCTGCTGGCCTTTTTTAACTTCTAGGTTGACTCCAAATAATGAGTTTTGGAAAGCATTTGAATAATTCTTTTTCCTTATACTTGTATTATTGCTCTTTTATGCTTTATTTGATCCTTTTACTGGAAGAGATTGAAATAGTATCAATAGAAGTGTGGTAATGATAGCCATGTTCCCAATTCAGGTGTAAAATATCAGTGTACTATGTAGTACTACTCTCTCAAATCCAGTATGATTCCTTAGCCTTGTTAATTCAGTCTGTTGGGTATTCTTCTCTTCCCCCCCCGCCCCCCCCGACACAGATGCTTGCCTTCCATTAGGATAAATAAGTCAGAAAGAAGAGTTGTTCTTTAGGCTGACCGATGTGCTATTTGAATACCAGTGACCAGCATGATAGAGGCTTCAAAGAACTTTGCAAATTTCTCCCTCTTGTGGGGAATATAAGGAGGGATGATAAAGGCTGAACGTGGAAGCTGAATCCTGTGAGCAGAGATTGTTTGCTGAAGTAGCCTGCAGTCTTGTCCTACATTCCCTTGCTATGAATATGCAAAGGAAGGGAGATTCTTAATGCAGCCACTTGGAAAATATTCCCTTAAAAATGGAGCAAAGTTATCCTCATAAGGAATATGAACCAGGGCATTCATACTAAGTATTTCTGCAGGTAGCACTCTCAGGGAAGACTCGCTTACACTTCTTTGCCTTTATTGGCTTCAGTGTGCAGCTCAGCTTTGCATGGGTTACCTGTTGCTGGTTTGGGTTGTGAAACTGGAGACAGTCTCCACTGTAATCTTGTCTCATTTGCAGGAAGCTGAAGAGAGAAGCAGTTAATAACAGAACCAATTTTTCCATCCCCTTAAGTCTAGAGTAAAGAGTGATTTCTGTTCCAAAGGACCAAATCTTTGTCTGTAGTGTGGTTTAACCCCAGCCGGTGACTGAGTACCACACACCTGTTCACCCACTACCCCTGAGTGGGATGGAGGAGAGAATTGGAAGTGTAAAAGTGGAAAAAACTCATGGGTTGAGATTAAAGACAGTTCAGTAGGTAAAGCAAAAGCCGTGCGCACAAGCAAAGCAGAACAAGGAATTAATTCACCTCTTCCCATTGGCTGGCAGGTCTTCAGCCATCTCCAGGGAAGCAGGGCTCCATCCCATGTAACGGTCACTTGGGAAAGACAAATGCCATCACTGCAAACCTTTCCCTTCTTCCCCCAGCTTTATATGCTGAGTGTGATGTCATATGGTATGGAATATCCATTTGGTCGTTTGGTGTGAGCTGTCCCAGCTGGGTCCTCTCCCAGTTTCTTGTGTGCCCCCATCCCACTCATTGGTGGGGTGGTGTGAGGAGCAGGAAAGGCCTTGACGCTGTGTAAACACTGCTCAGCAGTAATGAAAACATCCCTGTGTTATCAACACTGTTTTCAGCACAAATCCAAACCACAGCCCCATACTAGCTACTGTGAAGGAAATTAACTCTGTCCCAGCCAAATCCCGTATATTATCCACCCATTATTCCTTTACCATTTATGTCATGCTCAGGTTCCACACTATCCAGTACATCCTGATTAACCGCCACCTTCCTTTCCATCCTTTAATATAATACACGAGTATCATTATTCTAGTTTAGGGACCACTTCTGTAAAATGATAACAATGTCCGCCGAGTTCATTCAGTCAATGACTTTGGACTCCATCTGTCGTTGTGGCCACTCAGGACAGGAGGGGGTTGTGAGTTGCATCGAGTCACTGGGCTCTAAAGCCAGTTCAGGCTGGGTCACTGCTGCACTTGCACTGCTTCTTGTAAGGCTTGTCCTTACAAGAATGGTTCAGGTGGTTCCTGCTACAGTAATTCCTATAACATGCAACTCAAATCATGGCTTACAACAACTTGCAGGTATTTCCATTTTGATCTCCACCCCTGGTCCCTGTAGGCCAGGTTATAGGGTTTAACATTGCAATGAACTCCTAGTCTGGCTAGCAACAAGGGTTTCCTGCAATAGTAATTCCCCTAACATGCAGCTCAAATCCTGAGTTACAATAATTTTCCATTGTTGTATTTGTCCCATTCACATTCAATAGCTCTGACAATAGAGAGTATGAGAATTTTAGTTTAGAAGCTTCATGTCCTTTTCTTGCTAACAATAATGATTAGAGGTAAAGTGAACTTTTAGTATGCTTTTACTGTTGTATAGTGCACTGAACTAGCCTTCCTGACATTTCAGCAGGTCTTTCTCAGTCTTGGGGATCCTTCCCCATAATCTTAAAACAGGTAAGTGCAGACATACACAGAGGTAGAAAAAGGCAGACTAAAGACTTGGGAAGTTAATTAAAAAAATGGAGGGTCAGGGGAGAAACAAACAAACTATCAAATAAGGAAGCCTTATACACTGAGGTTCTCAGATTTTGAACAGTACAAAGACTACTGTGCAACAATTTGCCATTTGGCAAAGCTAAGGTGATCTATCTTCCAGAATAATGGATGATTTACTGAGGTTACCAACCTGTCACAGTTTAACCTCAATCGGCAACTGAGCACCACACAGCCGCTCACTCCCTCCCCCCGAGTGGGATGCGCGAGAGAATCAGAAGGGTAAAAGTGAGAAAACTCATGAGTTGAGATAGACAGTTCAGTAAGTAAAGCAAAAGCCACATGCACAAGCAAAGCAAAATAAAGATTTGATTCATTACTTCCCATCAGCAGGCATTGTAATGAAATACTTTTTTTTTGAACGTAGCTTTTCTCTCATCCTAAAGACTACCTCAGGGCAATAAATTCTGTTGTTAGAATTCTACACTAATTATGCAGTTTTAGAGTAGAAGCTAGAAGAAGGAATGTTGGTTTAGGCTTTCTCAGCTAGAAGAAAAGGATATCTGCTTTCCTGTATGGTATTTGTTTCATGGAAAAGAACATGGATCTGTTAAAATAGAAGACAGCAATTCTTTGGCTCTGACGCTTCTTGGCTTATTGTCAAGGCTACGACATATCATCTCTCCCTTATTCCTCCCTCATTACATTCCTTGTAGTGTTACATTAGCTGGACTGAGCTTTCCAGTGAAAGGGTTTGAAACGTGCATTTGAGATTAATTGGTTGCCACAGTGCTTAAACTATTGTAGATTACTATAGCATAGCAAGGCTATTTTAGAAAATGGTTCTGTGACAAATCTTATGGTTCTTTGCTTTCCCACTGAGTATTTTAAGGGCTGTCTGCTTTGATTATAGAAAGAATCAAAAAGAAACAGACAGAAAAACATTTAAGTTAAACTGAAAATATATTATCTTCTACTATATATGCGTATTTTAAAAATGAGTCTTTACAAGTACTGAATGATGACTTTCCCCTCTCAAAATCAGAGTAGAGACATTGGTAAGGCTGTTCCTTTCTGAATCACTAGAGGTGTAAGGGGTATGATATACTTCCACTTGGCAGTTTTTCCTTTATTCTCAAGTGGTTTGTCAGATTATTGTAAACTTTGTTTCCCACAGTGGGATTAAAATGACTGCAGTGATGTCATGCAAGAATTCCACTTTGAATAAATAATTTAAAGTCCCAAGTCATTGTCTACAAAGTAAAAATATTTTCGGTGTTAATGCAACATAAATATTTAACAAACCTAAGGAGAAAAAGCCCAAAGATTACCCAGTCATTTGAAAGTGAACTAGGAGAATAATGTGGCTTAAGAAGTTTTGTCTTTAATATAACCCTTGGGGAAAGGTATTGAAGAGAGTTTCAAATAATTTAGGAATTACATTATTTGTTTAGTTTAAAAAGCTGAAATGTGATTCAAATAACTATCCTGGTTGTGTAGATTGAACAAGAATCTTTCACAGGCAGGCGACTTCAACGCACACT